CAACGGGTTAGAACATTATCTGTAAAGGCTGAAGTGAAAAGTCGTTGTTCATAGTCTTTTAAAGCAAATATTGAATAAAGTATGAGGCATAAAATAAGAATGAACTTTTTTTTCAAAAATTTATGCAAGAAATTTTATTCATATGTCTTCTACGCATTAGCAATAACTTACACATATGAGTTTGTTCCATTTTTTTCAATTGTGTATGCAGTTTCTGTATAAAATCTGTTTTAGGTTATTATTTTTTAATTTTAAACTTTGATTTTCTTTTTCTAATTCTCTGTATTCTTTTGAGCTAAGAATAAAATGTATTGAGAAACAAATGTTCTAATTATATGATTTATAAAGTGTCCTTCAATTGTTTGATTTTAATCAATCGTTGCAATAATATCAATCAGGATTTTGTAGAAACTGTCAAATACACTGTAGCTAAATATGTATGTGAATATTACAGTCACTCTACACCCTTAAAATTGATTTCTTGATAATCTTAATTTTAAAATAAAATAATTCGATAGAATATTTAAAATATGATTAGATTAGTATATAAATAAATAATAATTATCGATTCTCTTTCATTTCTATAATAAAAATATTTTAAGATTTTTTCTATACTTAATAATAATCAAAAACCTTGAAAAGAAAAATTATTAAAGATTTAATAAATATAGGCTTGAATATTGATTCTAGTAATTAAAATAATTCTTTCTTATGAACTAAAAAGGTTATATTTCCTTTTTCTATTAAAATTCTTACTAATCAATACATTCATTTTATTCTGATTATTTTTTTATAATGAAAGTATTATTAAATATATGTTTCGAAATAACAGAATTGTATATTGAAAGTTTTCTTTTCTAATTAAAATAAACTTTTATAGAATTATTAATCGAATCCATCATTCTAATAGTTTGTTTTTTTTATAAAATAAGATATTATTTTTATATTTTATACATTTATTAAAATGATTTATGTTATTTTAGAATCAATTAAATTAATTCTGTTGAATATTTTCAATTCATTTTTTAGTTTAATTATTTATTAAAAATAATTAAGAGGCTTTAGATTTTTATTTTATCAGAAATAAAAAATAAAATAGATTTCATCTTGTTATTAAATTATTAGAATGTTTGGAATATTTTCTGAAAAATTTTAATTATTTATGATTTAATATTTAAAATTGATTGTAATTCTAGTATATGAAGTGTTTTATTGTGTGATTCTAAAATAGTTTTAGAATTTCAAATAAAATTAATTCCAGATATTGTTTTAACTCATTAATCAATTGAAAAGAGTACGAGTGTTGATATGACAATACTATAATAAACTGAAATCCAGACTCTCACATCTCTCAAGGTGGTTTAAGTTTATCTTTCATATGTACAATTAATAAGTTAACAGATACAAATCGATTTTTTCACATCTTTTTTAATATGAATATCGGTAGAAAAGTTCTCGCGTAAATCAATCGAACATTTTAAAAATATTAAGAAAATTTAAAGAAAGAAAAAAAATGCAAATGACTCAAAACTAGTATAAGTAAAATATCCACTATATAAGAAATAAATTAATATGAAGTAAAAAAACGATGTAGAATAGAACGAGTTGGTGTAAAAGAGATAAACAAGAACAGAAAAAAATGAGAATATGAAGAACCGGTATGAAAGAGAAACAAAATCAGACAAGCAAGATACAGAAAAAACGAGAACTACACACTCAGGTCTGAATGAAAGTCTTGTGATCATTAAGTAAAAGGAAGTGTCTATGCACATATGTGTGCACATGGCTAGCCGACGGCTATATACACGAATGTATATAACTGACTGACTATGTACAAATGTGCACATAGGTAAACGGGTATTTATACACAGGTAGGTATAACCATTTCATTGGTAAATATAAAGTTATATTATTATTTCATATGTATTTCTTTATTAATATAAACTAAATATCATATTGTTTAAATAATTTTATTTAACTCCATATTATGCAGTATTTTTAAAATAAAATTCGTAGTGTAATCGAGTGGATGCTTGATTTGATCTTGATTGATCTTTTATATATCTTCTAACAGAGTCATTATGATGATATATATATATTATATTCTGGTATCGAAAACGATGAAAGGATTCTTTCATTTATTTTTCATTATATTTCGTTGAGGTATATTTAACACTCACAGGTTGGATAATATTCAGAGAACAGAAAAATGATAACAATACAAATTTGCATTAAAACTAGTTCGTGATTTTGATTTTTAATCAATTTTACTGGGTAATTTTCATGTAAGTTTGCATTTTAATTAATGAAAATGAACTATATAAAAAATAATGCCAGTTCATCATCAAAAATGTCTTTTTGGTTGTGTTTTCACACCCAAGTCCTCATTTTTTTATTCCCTGAGTAGCTAATGCATCGATTTTATAATTCTTTCTTGAATTATTTCCATTTATCAAATTTCTCCACAAAGAAAGAATACTTATCTTGATTCACTTTTCTGGATGAAGAATTTCGACGAATACAAATAAATCCTTAAATTTAAGTATACTACCAAAATAAACTTTCTTTTGAAGTAGATATTGAGCATGAATATAATAGACTTTTTAATATTATAATAGTATTCATTAAATACTATAAATGAGAGCATATTAAAACGATCCATCTGACTATAAAATTATAAATTTATTTGATTTGAGTTGTAAAAGTATTCATAAAGTCAGTAAAGAAAAGATTGAAGTGAAGCTTAATCAATTTATCTTAATGAAGATTATGTTTTCAGAGTGCAAACTATCAGACTTTTCAAATTTTGAAACGTCCTAGTTTTTTAGCTAATTAAACAATAAAAAACAGTTTCTTTTTATAAGTAGTTGACAGAGAAAATGATATAATCGCAACAAAAGAAAAATACTGCTACTAGATGATTTTTATTTATTCCATTGAAAGTAATGAAGTTCAACCACTTCTTTCGAGATATGCTTTGAAATTAATAGATCTTTATGTAATTTAATATTTTTCAATAATTGTGTAATTGTACTACTTAATTTATATATAATAAATAATTACTTCTGTATTTATATTTTTTATCTAATGATGACAGAACTTTTGATTACACTCAAATAAAATATACTCATTAAAAGTGCCATGTTGTATGTATAATTTATTAATTCTTTTTTAGATATTAACAGTTCATATTTGACACACAAAGTAATAATCTTCTGCGTATTCATCATTGTTTTTTAATACAAGAAGGTGTTTATAGATCAACTAATAAAATATCAGTGCTACGACATCTCGTTTAATCAGTAAGTTAAAAAATGCTGAGTTCTAAATATATTTGTATCACTTGGAAAGCGATGACAATATGTAGCAAAAATAAGACATTTGTTTTTAATTAGAAAAAAATCAGTTTCTGACGCATTTTGAGGATGTGAGTGAATGGGTATTTGTTCCATGATTACTTATATGTACACCCAGATGAAGACACTACCGTCGTCAGAAAACTATAGCTCTTCTTGTCTTTAATTAGTCTACTTATTATAGGAAATTAGTAATCAATCAGCATAACAAATGGCATTCACACGACGAGGACGCTTCTTAGACAATCACATCTCAAAACTGCAACAAGATAATTGGAATCCAATATCTGGGTATAAAGATCGGGATGTTAAGTCATTAGAAGAAGCTGTAGAAAGCATCGTTCCATCTGTCGGCAACGCCATGGGGTATGCAGCGGAAGCTAAACAAAAATGCACAAAAAATACTCAATTGACAATAAATGAATCGGCGGCAATCTATCTTTACACAATGGATACATCTTTCTATGAGAAACTCAACGAAGCTCTTCGATATGAAAACCCACCCGCGCTGAAGCTATGGTTCGACTTTCTGAAATTGTTTTTCACTGCTCTTGCGAAATTACCTTCTCGTTCAAGTACAGTGTGGCGAGGCGTTGCGAACATTATTGGCTCCAACTTTGGTAAAGATCATATATTCACTTGGTGGAATGTGACTTCATGTTCGTCGAGTGCAAGACTCGCTGGAATTTTTGCAAGTCAGCAGGGTACTCTGTTTTGCATCAATACTATTTATGGCAAAGATATTGCTGAGTACTCATGGAACAAAGGCGAAGAAGAAATCGTTCTTATGCCTGGAACTCGCTTGTGCGTCAAAGACACAACGTTTGATGTTAATGGTTTCTCCGTCGTTCATTTGAAAGAATGGTTCGTATGTGTGAAAAATATTACAGGGTTCACAGCGATCCTTCTTTCTTTTTTTAATTTTCATACAAATATCCACTTAGAATTATTGCAAAACATGAGGGTGAGGGTGTGGCTTATTTGTCTATGAACCACACCCATCGTAGTGATTACTTCTTGAAAATGTTAGTGCCAATCAATTTACTTGAGGATCTGAGTTCGACTGTCGCATCCTGCCCACTCCTTCACGTAGTTCAAGCGTTTCAAGATATAGTAGTATCCTTGTATCAATGACTATGACATAATAGCTTTCTTTCCAGTTATCATCTATCTATTCTGTAGCATTGACTCTATATCTTCTAGTACTCCGATTCCCGAAGGAAAACATGTTATGATATCTTATGATTCGAATAATCACGAAACAGTATCTAAAATTTATCATTATCTACGACTCGAACATATACCACTTTGGCTCAATGAACAAAAAGAAACGACCAATGATCTAAAGAAAAGGTATGCTTTTTTGCATTATTTCCTTTCTCTAAACACCTCAATTATACTGTTCTCTTTTACAGTTTGGCTGAAGGAATAGAAAATGCTGCAGTCGTTTGTTGTTTTATGACTCCAGATTATGAAAAATCTTACTTCTGCCAACTGGAGTTACAGTATGCACAGAAGCGGCAACAACGAATCATCCCATGTATGCTCACTGATCTAAACGTTTGGAAACCTTCTAATTGGTTGAAGCTAATAACCAAAGATCTCGTATCGATCGACTTTCACAACGTCTCTGAACCATCAGTCATGCAAAGAAAGGTGGAGAAACTGATTCACCGAATAGAAGACCAACCTTCAACACCTCATTTTATATCATCACAAGTGGCTGACGGACCAAGTTATCTACTTGAACTGGTTAAGTATGAATATATACGAAATAGTCGTATTGAACGTTTCATGAATCCAGCCAAATCTTTTCCAATCGAACAAAGTTACATCAATTTGGCCATAGTACAAACTAAAGACCAGCAAGAAAAAGAAAAGAAGCTTCGTGATTCTCAGCACAACGATGCGATTATAGAAGCATTTGAAAACATTCATGGTACCAAGACTCCAATAGATGTCAAAGAAATTTTCAAAACATGCAAGGATAAAAGAAGGAATGTACTCGTATTCGGTCGAGCTGGCATTGGAAAATCAACATTTTGTCGATACATCGCCTATCAATGGGCAACTGGTATCATTTGGCAGGAATATGAACTGATTGCTTTGATTCCATTGCGTTCCTTGACAGCAGACCGCTATCCTATATTACCAGCTGGTGCCAACTATTCTTTAATAGACGTTCTGAGAAAAGAGTGCTTTTCTTTCGATCAATATCTATCAGAAAAAGATGAAAAACAATTGCAAGAACAGTTTTACAACAGTCGCATTTTGTGGCTTTTAGATGGATATGATGAAATCGGACAAAATGTACCTACACATATTCGACGTTTGTTGAATGATCAATTACTCAAGACCCCACATCATATCATAACATCTCGGCCATACATGAATACTTTACCGCATTCTGTACAATTAGAAATTACAGGCTTCACAGATGATAATATTTCTAAGTATCTCAAACAGTTCTTCCAGGACATCGGAAATGAAACACAGAATTCATCTGCTGAAGATGAAAAAATACTACGCTTTCTCAAACGTAATCCTAGGATTTGGGGTATTGCACACATTCCCATTAATCTAGAGCTCATTTGTAGTGTTTGGAGCAATACAGATTGGGCAACAATGGAAACAATGACGATAACGATGCTGTACGATAAAATAATCGAATGGATATTTCGTCGATATCTGGAAAGACAACGAGAAATCTCTACTGATTTATTGTGTGAGAAGGAAGTTTATCAAAAATGCAAGAGCGAATTAGCATTTTTAGGACGTCTAGCTTTTCTTGCGATGGAAAAAAACATTATAATTCTGCATCCAGATCTACTGCAACAAGCACAAAATGACACTAACTGCTCATTAACCCTGAATCGACACTTACTTAATATTGGCCTACTAAAATCACTCATAAACCATCATGGCGTTGGGACACGAATCGAAGCAAGAAAAGATCATTACTTTGTACATCTTAGTTTTCAAGAATATTTTGCGGCACGGTACTTGGTCACTGCTCTCAATGGCAAAGAACCTCACAAAATGATCGAATTTATCCGAGGTCATAAGTACGACCGACGCTTTGAATTAATGCTGAGCTTTGCATCGGGTATTATCGCAAACAGCTACAGCATTGAATGTAACGACATATTCTGGGACACGATCTCAAGAGAGCCATTAGATAAAGTTGGCATAAGACACATGCGAATTGCCACTTCTTGCTTAGAAGAGGCACATCATAACGAAAAGTTCCAACAATATAAGGAATTAATGATCTATATAACCAAATATATAGAATATGCCGTGCACTCAAAGTATGAAGTGATACGCACCTACCTAAACGAGACTTTATGCAGAAGTCCCTCCATAGTAAACAAACCAGAATTAGTTAAAACTCTCACTACGCTTTTGCGAACCGACAACGAACGCACATTGAAGAGTGTCATCTCGTTTATAATTGAACTACCACTTTATGATCCGCCGCCACAGTTCGTACAGTTGCTAGTGACCGCACTAGAGAATCCCAGTGATTGTATACGAGAGAACACATGTAAACTCCTTGGTCAGCTAGGCGACAAAGTAGCAACGAACACCGTGATCGTAGGTCTGATTACCACATTGAGCGATGAGCATTTGATTGTCAGGCGAGAAGCATGCGAAACACTGAGTCATATAGCTGAAAAATCAACAACAAACGACGTAATCGCAGCTCTGGTGGCTGCACTGGGTGGTACCAATAATACTCTTAGAAGTAAGGCATGTGAAGTACTCGGCCAGATGGGTGAAAAAGCAGCGACGAAAGAGGTGATTGCAGTGCTGATGACCGTACTAGGAGATACCGATAATATTGTCAGAGAGAGAGCATGTGAAGCTCTCGGTCATATGGGTGTAAAAGCAGGAACGAACGATGTGATCACAGCGCTGATGAAAGCATCATGTGATCGACATCAACATGTCAATCCCTATGCACTTAAAGCGCTCCGTCAGATATGTCAAACAGCAGCATTACACGACGTCATCCCGGTGCTGGTGACCGCATTGGAAGATGTTAATGAAGGAGTTAGAAGTAACGCATGTCAAGTTCTCGGCCAGATGGGCGAAAAAGCAGCAACGAGCGAAGTGATCGCAGGTCTAATTACCGTACTGAGATTTGCGGGTCGTTATATCAGAGGAGAAGCATGCAAAGCGCTCGGTCAGATGGGTGAAAAAGTAGCAACAGACGATGTACTCGCAGCGCTGGTGGCCGCATTAAGAGATGCGGATGATAATGCTAGACAGCGAGCATGTGTCGCTCTCTGTCGGATTTGTAAAAGAGGAGCAACAAACGACATAATTGTAGCGCTGGCGGCGAGACTGTGGGATGCGAATTGGATTATCAGACTTAGCGCATGTGACGCTCTCGGCCAGATGAGTGCTAAAGCAGTAACAAACGACGTGATTATAGCGCTGGTGAACACACTAGGAGATGTGAATGAAGACGTCAGACAGAGGGCATATGAAGCCCTCAGTTGCATCAGTGAAAAAGAAGTAACGAACTACATGATGGCCTTGTTAGTAGATGCATTAAAAGATGAGAACACCAGACAGAAGGCGTGTGAAGCTCTTGGTCGAATCGGTGGTAAAGCAGCAACAAGTAGCGTTATTAACGGACTATTATGTATTGATGATTATTATGCTTACGCAGCAGTGGAAAATATTCTGATTTCTGCGTCCTCGCTGTCTGATATAGATTCGAATACAGTTTTGAAATTATTTGATTTCTGGAAGCAGCAGGAATGGCGGGTACGTGATATACCTATAGAAAAGATTATGGAAGCGTACGTGTGTACAAAAATTGCTCAATGGTGCCCTATTATTGGTTTGCATACCCTTCGTACCGCTTGTGGTATTACTATTGTTGGACAAAGGGTTATTGTTTACGGCAACTCTAATCCAGTAGCGTTTGACATGCCGAGTTGCACACTTTGTGATGATTTAGCTAATGTTTTTGCTAATCAGAGTGGTTTGGCTTTTTATCTCCCAACAAGTCCTAGAAACGCCGTTGTATCGTTTAACCCTTTGAGTTCTAAGTTATTTTTCTTTATCTTCCAAGGTTTCCTGCTCTTCTGCAGCATCGTTCTTATTGTGAGAGTCATTTTGGTCATCAGAGGATAACCCGCTTGCATCACTTTCTTGATTAGGATCCATTTATTCGGTTTCCGAAACGATTTGTAAGATAGAGAGTTATCTAGAAAAATTCGATATTTCAATCTAAACATACATTAATTTTCGTAGATTGAATATGATAGAAAATGCCCTCTCAAACACATTCCGAATCTTTCGTAATTCAAAGCTATTTTTCCTTCATTCATAGTTCGGGAAGGTTCTAGAAAATTTAACTGTCAAACATGTGTGGCAAAAATGCTACTACGGGACTCAAGGGGTTAATAAGTCATTGTAGCTTGTTTTGTACGAAAACGACAAAAAATACTTTGTCAATCATTTTTTTCCGTTTTCACAGCGTTGTACGTTCATGATCAATGCATACTTTTCTAAATGCTCAAAATAGATTAAAATTTTCACTGAATCTATGGTTCTATTAATTATTATTATTTTAAAGTGTATGTGACAGATATTCAGATTGTTTGCAACTTTAATATATCTTTATTAACTCACAAGTTATATTTGTAAAATTATCCTCTATAGGTTTACTTAAGCAGGACTTTGCATAACATTTAAATTACATGAATCAAAATCATGTACTAATATGAAGATTAGGATGTCGAATGAATATATAAGAAGAGTTTATGATATCTAATTGTGAATTATCACATTGAGATCTCAATGTTTCGATGAAGTTCGACGCTCGAATCATAGTCATACGTTGTAACAAACAAATATCGTTCGCCGGCTTCGACTGAATAATGAAGGCGATTTATTCACGATTTTATCTTGTTGTGAGAGTTGATGACAGCATCAATCGCATTCACACAAATCTATTATGATGGCATATAATAATTATTGAAAAATAGGTATCTTTTATGCAGCTCAATCAGAAAATCGATGTATCTTTCACATTTTAAAGAAAAGGTTTGAAATAAGTACAAAAGAAAATATTTTTACGTATCGATTGAACGATATATGTTTATAATATTATTTTTGAAAATAAAGAATACACTCCGAAATGTTTTACTTGATAATTATTTAGAATTTCATCGGCATTTAAAGATTCAATAAATTTATTCAATCGTAAAATACTATCAAACCTTGTTGGAATAAGATAAACCGTTAATGTTTTTAAATTTTGAAAATATTTCAATATTTTAATCACATGGTTTGCATGACATTGAGATATTTGTTGATTATAACATAAATATAATGATATATATTGAACATTTGACCAGTACATATAACTTGTTTCAGGTAAATAATCCACATCTGAATGTATTTTTATATCTAAATATTGAATTTTTTTATTAAATATTTCCGCTACTTGATTATCTAATGAAATTAATTCTTTCGACGATAAAATTAAATGTTTTAAATTTGGTAATCGATACAAAATCCAATCTTTTACATTTTCATTATATTCACATGTTGTAACATTATCGAATGTAATATTATTTCTCATTTCATTCTTATTCGAATCACACGAAGTAAATTTAATTAAATTTAATTTCGGCATTTGAATATTCAGATCTTTTAAAAATTGAAAATTATATTTTTCTGTTAAACATAATTCCAATGATTTAACATTAGAATACCATAATCGAGAATTCGTTTTAAAATTATTTGAAAATTCATAAAGATAATCAAAATGAAATGGTAATGTATAGAAATATTTATCATGCATACCAAATCTCCAATTATGATCCAACCAAAATTGATTTTGAAATTCTAATAAAAAATTTTCATTATCAATTGGACATTCATTTAATTTTGCATAGAGATGAAATTGTTTTAATTCAATCATTGTTTGTAAAAATTGTTGAAGTTTAATACTATTAAATGGTAATTCATCTATTGTTTCAATATTTAAATCAACTAAATCAAGTGATAATGAAATTAATGATGATGAAAATTGTTTAATACCATTCATTAACTGATTAAAATCAATTGAATCATGACCTAATTTTAAATTGAATTGTTTTAATTTAATATTCGTTTGATAAATTATTTCTTGATATGTAATCGGTGGTGGTGATGTTTGAATAGTTAAATATTCTAAATTCGGTGTATAGGATATTAATTTAAATATATCATTAAAATCACTTAATATTAATGTTAATGAATGTAGATTAGAATTGATTTGTAAGCTATTGTAATGTGTGATAGATAATGATGAACGTTTAAATGGATATTCGAATATTTTTAATGAATTATTTGAATTAAATATTTTTTTAAATAAATAATTTTGATCAATTAAATCAAAATAATAGAATTGATCACAAAATAATTTCTTTTGTTTTAATTTAAATGTATGTAAATTATTAAATTGGTCACAGTCAAGTAAATATTTTAATTGTTCTTTTGGTAAACCATATGTTGAAGGGATAATAACTGATTTTAAATTTGAAAAATATATTAAGGGAAATGAAAAATCAATGGTAGATATTATTAATGATTCGATTTTTGAACCTAGATACGAAAGAATAGGTTCCCATGTATCGAAATTTGTTGATGGCAATTCTAAATTAGTAAAATAACGTCGATGACGTATAAGAATATTATTAAATTGTTTATTGAAAGAAAAAAATGTATAAATTATATCATTGTTTGATAAATAATCAAATATTTCAAAGATTATTTCAATAGGAAAACGATCTAACCATGTTATTGAATTGATCTTTGATTGAAATTCCATACGAAAAACATAAATAAATAAATATGTTGTCTTGTTATTATATATAGAAAAAATGTTCTACCTATATATTTAGTCTAGGTATTTTTTTATCCTTGAATAAAAATGTCCTTGGTGAAAATCTTTCTTATCTTTTACGTTTATTTTGTACTCATAGAAAATTGTAATAATAATAATAAAGATTTGTTTTCAAGGATATTTGAATTTATTAAACATATTTATGATGAATTACAAGATATTCTGATAAATTATAACAATTTAGTCATATTTTTAGATTTCTAATTATACAGAATACTATAATTCCCATGGTGTGTGTGAGTTAAATTTTTGTCGAAAAACGTAACGGAATAAAAACTGAGAATTGAGATAAGTTTTCAGGATTTATCGATAAAATAGAAACTATTAAAAATAATAAAAATATCTACGTTTATAGCGAGTTCCATAAGGACTCCTTCTACGCTGAATAATATATGAAAAATATGCAAAATAATGCAAGAACCATTTAATCTAGAACACTTGTTGATATAGAGGTTCCTATTAGGTAATTTATTGTACTAGCTAGAGTTTTTGTTTATTTATTTGTATTGATTTATTATGTAATTAACAATATCTTCTAATTTTTATTTTTATTTTTTTATTACTAATGACAATTTCTGACAGTTTTAAAGATCTAATTCGATATTATTGATGAAAAGAAAAAAAATACGTTATTGCTATATGAACATTACGATAATTGAAATGTTGCTGCAATCATCAAATGATCTGAAGGATGTGTTTCATCTGGGTACGATTCGCTATCAGGAAGATCTGGTAGTTCTAAAACATTTTCAACAGTAAGATGACCAGTAAAGAAAATATAATCAAGTGTTTCGCAAAATTTTGATGATTTCGGTGTATCAGCAAAATTTGTATAAATAGGTTCGGTTCCATTCTTTTCACAATAGGCACTCTTTAATACTTGTTCAAAATTAGGTTGATAAGAAATTTCATACACGTTAGATTTTGGAAAATTGTAACCATTATAATTTTTTTCGGTTAAAACTTGATAACAAACATCTTGTGGTTTAATATTAAAATCACCGGCTAGAATAAAATCTTGTCCTGCTGCCTGTTCATACATTAAATCTTTGACAACTGAAGCATGAATTGCCATAACATCAGGTTCTTTATAAAGACAAGGCATGTGATATGTTCCAATGAATAATGATTTACCATTGATAATAGCTTGTAAACAAATGAGTACATTGGATCTGAGCATGGCAATCTCCCATGGATCAGATATATATAGTTTGTTTTTGCCCTTGATCCATTCATACCAGTTCCATATCCATGAAAATATGTTGGATGGTTGTTCACGAGATTTACACATTTTTTTAATATGATCTCCAACTTTAATCATCGAAATTTTGTTGATATGTATCGACATAGGAACAGCAATACCTACACCCATATAGTCATTATATTGTTGACCATAAAGATGATGAGAAAATGTATAATTCAATCGGCGAAAAAATAATTCGAATTTTGATAATAATGGAAGAGAAAGTTCTTGTAAGCAAATAATCGTATTTTCATGATTAATAATCTCTTGTTCTAATTGTGATTGAATTAAATTCCATCGATAATCAGTTTTGAGATATTGAGGTTGACATTTCGTATAATAATCTGTTTCTTCAGCAAATATAGGTACTAAAATATTATATGATACAACACGAACAGTCATGATAGTATTGCAAAAAAAAGTATGTGTCTATAAGAAAAATACAAATGTAAATATGATTTAACAGAACATGTGTTATATATAGCCATTGTAAAGAACAGAAAGGCCTAGAACGTAATAATATAAATTGAGTCATGAAATATCGATGACGACAAAATGACTCATAAAAACATAAGGAAACAATGCCAACGTATTGAAATTTACGTGTCAAAAAAAGACACATAATTGTAAGAGATTAAAAAATAAAGATATATCAGTATTCACACATAGTGTTTTGATAGAACTACAAAAACTTCTTTTTCAAGTATTTATATAATAATGCTAATGATATGACAATTTAACAACAGTCAGGGATGTGGGTGACCGTAAAAACAGAGTATTCAGACGCGGATCCACACCGTATATGTGTAGACGAATAAAATTCATTTCTTTTACATTGTAATGTATGCACTAATCTATTCATTCATTTAGTTCTTCATATTCTAGATGATTATCCATTTACAGATCCTGCTGAAAATATTGCACTTGGCGTAGAATTCGACTTTATATACTGATTTATTAACAAACTATGCCATTTATTTTCAATCGATCGATCGATGTGGTGCCAAACAAGCTGATGGTTCAATAGAAATAACAAACGAAAGAAAACAATTTGAATCTGAACAAGAAGAATTAAAATTACGTAATGAATTAATGAACAAAGTAACATGTGTTACATCTAAACTAAATATATCTGAAGCTAAAATTTCTTTAGGTTATCCATTATTAATTAAACGTGATAGATATGGTCAAAAATTATTTTAGAACTTCATTAGGTAGTAAAAGACATGATTGTAAACCTATAATGGTATTAAATGCATTAATAACATTAAATGAATAAATCAGCTGTACGATTATTTAATGGACAAATGTTTGAATCAAAACAAACGATTGAATCGTATTATCATTTTTTACGTTTATTATTGCATTGCATTGAGATTTATCCTGAATTAGGTGAAATAATTAAATAAAATCTTCTCATTTTTCTTAAGTTTGATCGAACAGGGTGTGGGTATGGATACTTTAATAATCCAACACGTACAGCCACACCAACATTCGAAAGATTAATTTTAGTATGTTTTTATTAGTATTAAGAAGATAAACAACAGGAGCAAAATCTATAGGAACAAAATAAGAAAAATGAAATATAGTCTACATGATGAGAAGATAGAACCATTATGGATTGTCAACACTAGCTGTATGACAAGCACCGTTATAAGCTGCCCGATATGTGAAACGATTTGGTCTTGTTGCATCTATCGTTGGATAATATAGTTGAACAATAACTTCAACAGGTTGTTTATGAGTCAAGACTAAATTACGAATATCTTTCTCTTCTTGACTCCATGCACCTCGATTGATATTAGAACTTTGTGGGAAAATATTATAGACATTTCGACCAGTACCACCTAAATTGTTTCCAATAATATGGCCAGCATCATCTGTTGGCTTTCCCATTTCTCGTGCAAATTTTCGAGTAGCGTCATTGGTTGCTGAGCCTTTGGTTTGTATAGTTTGAACGGTAATAACTATGTTCAATAAAATAAAATAAAACATTTCAAAAACTATAAATTCAAAAATATTTCTCTCAATCAAGAATTGCAAATAACATTTATAAAACAAGGCCGCTGTACACTCACTCCTAGAAGTCCGAAAAACAAGAGATTTTAAGGTATTCTCACTATCCATACCCATATTTATTGCTTAAAAATTCAGAATACTATGAAAAACAATCATACCTGCACGAACGTATTCCACGCGATTTTTGTGTCCAGTTTGATATTTCTTGATGGGCTCATTAGGATCATTCAATGTATGAGTCTGTATACCAGGCTCATTAAATTCTCCGTAATTCAGTAAATTACATATTGAACTACATAAGATAAAGATAAATGTAAATCAATTCAATTGATTAGCTAAAAAATGATAACTTACTCTTGACCGTGTACTTTATCTGGATTTCTTGTGCGTGTTCCCAAAGGGGAAACAGTAGGACCTGCGCCCTTGCCTTTTGGTGCACAAAACGTCTCATCAATGATGAATACTAATAAGACCAATTCAATGAGAAACACTAATTTTTTACACATATTTCAACTATTTTTTGTGTTGATATATTCTTGTTAGATTTTGTTCACAAATAATCTGTAATGAAAAAAAGGTGTGAGGATATTAAACATCAAAATTTGATCAATCTTTTAAAAAGTCAGTCAATGGAAGTTTCAATTATATGTGCAAAGATACTTGATTTATTGATAAGAGTAAAGATCAATAGCATTATATATCCAAGAAATTAGGGATATGATAAAAAATGTATGAAGCTGATAGATTTGTATAAAATTGTTATGGATAAAAGTAAATTTCAAATTGTTTAATCAGATCTGTGCACAGACTAATACAAAATCACATACACTGAGGAAGCAGAAATTTAAGTTTCATAAGAGAGAAATAATAAAATGAATTCTGTACTTACTATATTTCACAGAAAATCTGTATCTTCAGTTTATTAGTGAAAATTATATCTAAAACAAATGAGAAAGAAAATATAATGACAGTAATTTTAAATTATTAGATTCGATGAGCATAACATAAGAAAATTCCTAGCTCTAAAAATATTCACATATCATTCATTGTCACTTACCGTTAGTAGAGAGACTATTTTTAATTTATATGCTATTGCAGAAGTAGCTATCCAGAATATTTGCGAAGATAAATGAACTATACATAAAGGAACGACAGCTCATTCGTGCTTTAGTTTAAAAGCATGAAACTGAATAATGGCGAACGAATGAGAAAACGAAGAGAGAAGAATAAACAATGATCGACTATCTATCGCCAGTGAGGCGAAACGGTCAGGAAAGAAAGGGGAAATAATGATAAATGACCGATGACTACTTTTCTTCCCCAATTGTTATCCTTATCTGTGTATGGTTGTCGCTTTTGTCTCAAACGACAAAAGAATGATGAACGTAGAAAGAAATAATCACGATTGAATGAATATTGGTCTTAGAAACGATGTTAGAAATGGACGCATCTTGAGGGTGTCGGTGCGTATTCATTTAGATGGAGATTAACAATATTCATACAACGACATTCACACCCAAACTATTATGTCATCGGGGAACACTAGTGGAGTTGGCATCTGTTAGAAAAGTGTTCTCTATTACATCATTGAACTAAAAGTTAATTTGACCACATCATAACTTCCATATTTCGAAGAATGTTTATGCCTGTTCAGTAAGAAAGGCGACTACAAGTTTCGCAGTAAAAGTTGACCAAGAGAAAAGACATATGTAGGTTTGTAGAGAAAACTTTTCTCTGTAGAATGGCATATATACTATCGAATTCTGTTGCGTATCGTGAAAATTGATTTCTGGCTTGAAATCAAGCCAATTAAAGACCTACCTCGGAGTCAACTAAATTTCTTGTCTATAATTCATTTTTTACATTAAATATTTTTTGAGGCGATGGTTTTGTTCTCTGATATTTTCTCTACAAACTGATGAGCTATATAGAAGTTCACAAACACAAAAGAAAGTCGCATTCCAGAAAATCGAAGTGTTGATTGCAAGCTAAAAATCAAATTTTACGGTCGCAACAGAATTCGATAGTATATATATTGAGAAATAATTAAACTAAAAAATAAATTAATAAAGCAAAATTGACTGTTGATTGTTATACAAATAATCTATTTTATTAAAATAAACATCTTTTGAAATTCCCTTTAAGCCAATAAAATGGATTCAACTAAAATTCATAAACTTGTTTTGAGAAAACTAATTAGTGTTATTTAATTATCTCTAGAAATGGTATTAGTTTTAAGTATTGTTTTTGGATATAATTCAATATATAAAATTTCTAACGATTATTGTTCATTAATAATATCAATAAATAAACAAAGAAGAATATCAATTATATTCAAGAAAATTTCGTTAAAATTTATCAACAACATTTACTGGTGCTCTTATTGATGTATTTCTTTTGCATTTTGTTAAGTTAAATTCGATATAAAATATTTCATAGTTGAAGAAAAGTCATTGAAATTTATTTTTCTATTATTTCTCAGATATTAATTAATCAAAATCAAGTAACATTTTCTTAAATATCTTATATTTGACCATCATTTATTTTTCTTGATTGGAAATATTCTTTACTTAATATAAGACATGAAAAAAGTCTTCTTAGATAATCAAAGTAAGTCTTTTTTCTATAAGAATCCAAAATTATAAATGAATTTCTAAACATAAAGATGTTTCAATTCTATCAAGTATTATTATATGACCACTAAATGGATTTTGTCTTTTCGAAGTTAATCAAAATAAATCGAAAGTATTTTGTTAATATTTCACTATTAATTCATAATCGTTATGTACGATCAATGATATCGACTTGTTCATATTATATTTATTCATTGATAATTTATATTTTCATTTATAAATTCTAAAACCATTTATCAGCATAATAATTTTATTAGACAAACATTCCAACTTAAGTATAAAATTTCATAATCAAAATTAAATAAATATTTTAATATTAAATTAGTTTGAAGACTATATGACAAATAGTAAATTATTTCTCTCGATATATTTATATTATTTATGATTTTATTTCAATTTTTCATAAAAATCGATTTTATTCATAATCTACAAATGAAGAAAGAAAAAATTCCATTATATCTTGTCAATATTAAATAAAAATATTACATATTTACAATTGTAATTATTGAAAACAAAACCAATGAATATTTGTCGATTATCTTTTCTTTATTAGGGCAAATATTTAATTATTTATTTTTTTAATGAATTGAAGTCATTAGTTGTGCATCAGCGTTTATTCGTTATAGATATATTTATTAAAAAGAAACTTTTGGTCGGATATATCTCTAGTTTATTTATTATAAAGTTTTTAAAAATTCTGTTTATATCGAATAATTTTCTTTTTATAGAAATTCTATCAATTACATTATTTAACATTAATCATATGTTATTTTTATATAATAATACAATTTAGTTTCATTGGTGAGTATGAGTGAAATAAGATCTAATTCATCTACACCTACGTCTAAATATCGAAGATTGATAAGAATGAGCAAGAGAATTTAAATGTGCGAGACCATTAATAAGATAGATAGAAGACTGTCTTATACATCTATTGACGATACTCATCTATTCCCACCCACACTTAGTCCATTAGTAGAGGCATAGACCAATCATTATGAAGTTCATCTCTTTTTATTAAAATAGAATAGTTCTGATGGTTTCTTCGCAACTATCTCATTTGTGATTGCATAAATTTACCTTTTACAATACAAGAAAGAAAATAAAAAGGAGTCCGCAAAATTTCAGCCATGCGACATACGATAATACATAAAATCTCTTTGGATATATGATAATAAAAGTTAAAGTATTTTCTTACCATTCTCTTATCAGAGAGCGAAGAAAATATGGCGTTTTAACGATTACGTCCACTCGATTCTCAAGCAAAACATTTTTTACAATACAACAAAGAGAAAAGAGTTCGCGAAATGTTAGTCATTCGACATGCAATAATACATAAAATCTCTAAATCTATATAACTGAAGTCATACTGTTTGCTTACTATTCTTCTATTAGAAAGCAAAGAAGATATGACATTTTAACAATTACATTCACTCGATTCGCAAACGAAAAATGGATGAGACAGGTAACTCAGCGAATAACGAGATAGAAGCTGTAAACAATGTTCCAGTAACAGAAAGCAAGCCTCCACCAAGTTTGAGTTTCGTGAGTCCAGTGATCATCAGTTTACAGAATGAGCCACCACCACCAGCATACACATCTTACGATCAGTTCGTACCTCCTCCAGCTGGTTATCATCAAGCTGGTTTTTCTAAAGTGAATCGCGTGCAGCCGCAGCCAGTGCCTAACAATATGATGTTTGCGCCTAATCAAGGTGCTAACGTCAATGATTTCATGATATGGTCAGTTGTTAACTGTCTATGTTGTTTATGGCCTGTAGGCCTCATTGCCATAATTCTCTCTTGTGTAGTAATGCAAAAGAAGAAAGATAACAATATGGAAAGCGCTAAGAGTTTGTCAAAAGCAACTGCTGTAGTGAACGGCATTGCTACTGTTGGTGGTATTGGTTTCATTATCTATATCATTATTTCCGTCACTCAGATGCTTCGATCCAGTGTATACTAAAGACACTTTCGCTACCATATATTTATTCGGAGCATTTTATTATTCATCTATCTATTAATGTATTTTTTCATTTCTGTTAAAAAGAAATAAATATTATTTTAAGAAGATAAGTCTAAATGAATAGTAAAAGAAATACTATTCGTCTGGGTATCTGATTCGTATTTTTTTATACACCTGAAGAAATGTATTTTGCTTAAAAATTTTCAGTTATTCTTGTGACTATAAATCTTGAGGGTGTAGATGTGGGTGCACTGTATTCATCTCTTACTCACATCCACACCCACCCATACCCAGAGCTGGGCAAAGTACTCCAATGGATTATTTTTCGTATTCGAGGATATGATCTTCGAGTTCTTGATCATGACTCATAAAAAGTTACTATGTGATTCTGTGCTGCATGGATAACGTAAATTCTTGACGTCTTTTTA